TCAGAATTCCTTCCTGTCAGGAAGCAGGACCCACAGCAGAGCCAGGCTAGCAGCAAGGCCTGCAGCAGAGCCAGTATCCAGGCCCTGTAATGAGCGCAGCTGGCTTGCAGCAGGCTGCCTGATTAACCACTTCTCCTGGTGGTTGGAAAAGTCAGCAGATGGCTCTTAAGCCTAGCAACAGCAGTTCACTGGCTGCTCAAAGTGTTTGCCCATGGTTGTGATAGCCCCTGGGTGCCTGCTCCTTTCCGGCCCTTCTCCAGCCTCGTACCCCGTCTTGCCTCACTCCAGGTAACCAGGCTCTGATTGTGGGTGTCTGGCTTGAACAACTAGGCATCACTGCCCACATCCTGGTCATATGATGCTTCCTCTGTTCTGCCCCACACAACACTTCTTCCAGGGCAATCTAAGGCTTTTCCCTTTCAAGGTCCATCTCTGTTTGGAGGGAAAGGGTATCTTCAAGAACGCCTTCCCAGCATCCCTTACTGAGCGAGCCTCTAATGCCCGTAAGCCATGAGAACTACAAAATTACCTTGTTCCTGATTGAATGGACCAGCATCATGCTGGGCCTGTAGCCTCTCTTAAAGGCCAGCACACTGTTACATCACTAACACAGCGGGGAACAAATGGATGTTAATCAAGTGAAAATGACCCAAAAGTTTAGAAAGAGGGGACATAAGGTCAACACATCAAGCCCCCTTCTATCCCACCCCAGAAAACCTTCCCTGCAGTTGCAGAGGAGACTACTCTAGGCCAGTGGTTCCCAAACTTGAACAACCTGTGAACCCCTTTCCCTAAAATGTCAAGTCTCGCAAACTCCCTCCTAAAAATGAATATTTCCAGGGATTTTCTCCCTTACCTGAGCATAAATTATAAAAGCAGCGATCTTGGAAATATAAAATGTGTTTTTATGACATGGTTATTACACACTATTTATTATTAATTATCATTACAGTATTTTTATTACATTATGAAAACGGCAACACTCTTCCAAGATCTCACTTTCATACTTGTATTACTTTGAATAAGCCTGTTATAAGACAAGGCTCCTATGTTTTATCAAAGAGTATCAGATGTGAAATAGCATGAAGGTATTTAAGAAGCCAACTCAAAGAGTTCCTCCTACACTGCATTCAGGTCTTGAGCAGTCCAGGCAAACAACTCACGTTACAACAAAGCTTAAACTCATTCTTCATAATAATTTTGAAAACAATACTAGCTGCCTATTTAATTTAAAAAACAGCAAAAAATACCTCTCTGTTTCTTATAAGGAGTCTTGAAGTTTAAATCTCCTCAGTGTGATAGATAGGCTTGCTTTGATCTGCTTAGCTCTTGGAAGTCCCAGGGGCTTTGGGCTGCTGGCCCCGTGCTGCCCAGGGTCCCTAGGGACAGCTCTGTCCGCCATTAGGAAATATTTTCACGAGAACCCCCTGTAACATTTCGCAAAGCCCCAGGGGTTCACGAACCCCAGTTTGGGAACTACTGCCCTAGGCAAAGGTGCTGCTGGAACTAGGGGTACAGGGGGTGCTGCAGGACCCTTGGCTTGAAGTGGTTTCCATTATATACAAGGTTTAGTTTGGTTCAATGGCTCTCAGCCCCCCCCCTATACAAATTGTTCCAACAACCCTGGCCCTAGGAGCTGGCTCTAGAGGAGTTTCTCTACCCTGGAGAATCTCCAGCTGGGGCGATCTGTCTGCTTTCTCACCCATTTGCACAGTCACAGCTGCAGAAAGGTCCTGAACAGCAACCTGGCTCCTATTGCTTGGAGAGGACAGGGAAGAAGCTTATTTTCATACATTGGGAGGTCTCTTATCTTGAGTTTCTGAATGTGTTTATAATATTTGTGAAGTACCTATTGAACTCTGGATCAGTGGTTTAGAAGTGCTTTAATAAATAACATGAACGCATCCCATCTGAATATCATAAGTAATCGCACCTTAACTTGCCCTTTAATTCAGAGGTTTGTTATGGGTCCCTTTTAAATTTCACAGTGCTTTTTCAACTACTGTAAAAGCTGCAGAGTTGCTGTTACATGGAAGTTTCTTTGCATAAGAACATAATTCTGCTACTATACTAATTGTGAGTCTCAGGCACCACATTCTGGAAAGTCAGTTTCACAGGCCTTGCCCCTGGGAAAAGGAACGATGTTGCTTAGGTGTAATTCTCTAATATTACTCATGATTTGTGAAAGTGAATTTCTAGAGGTATGCAACCTTGCCTTGTGGTATGGGGTCCTAACCTTAGATGCTGTTGGCATTGGTGTGGGGCAGGCTCTTACTGGAAGGCACTTTTTTTATGTTGTGAAAGCTAGCCAAGACACTTAAGGTTCATGGCACATTTCACTTAAGTTTCATTTCCAGGTCCTTTATAACTGCTTCCTTAACATTATTTTATAGTTTCCTTGCAATGATTTATATTTTCTACCATGTTCTGGCACTCATGAAATTTTTTAAGAGGGTAAATATTATTAGTGTAAATGCTCTGTGTATATGGCAATTTTAATCCTGTTTGGTTTCTTCTTTTCATTTACCAGTTCAGTAATTACTGTGTTATTAACCACTTACTGTGAAATCATGCACTGCAGAGAAAGGCTTGTTAAGTGGAGTCTTTTCCCTGATCAAGTTCCTTATGACTCTAGAGAATACTTTTACTGAGACTAATGGGTAGTTTAAGAACTTTTTGTTCTCTTACCAGTGCTTACAAGGAAAATCTGGAAGTTATATGCTCAGCATACCAGCAGCAAACTGCTCACCAGAGCAGCTGCCATTGACTTTAACCGGGACGCCTTCAAGAATTAGCGTAGCTTGCAAACTAGACTGAGCCACAGAAGGCATCTTTAAATTCAGCCACTCTTTGCTTCACCCTCAAATTAGTGACTTAACGAAACATCTAAATTATTTCAATATTATTTTAAAGTACCCTATGTCCTTTGCTGGAACTGAGTCATGGGCAGTTTACAGGCTGGAATAAGTAAGAGCAGAGTGAAAGACTCCACCCAAACTGATTTTTTTTTAAACTGTCTTTCAGATATAGATGCCAAAATAACCATTTAAAAAAACAAAAACCGTTTTTCAGTTAAGTGTAACATCTTTTGCTCTCTTTGTTCACATGACCCTCTGTTAATCTGTTTTGTTTTTCTAAGCATATAGCAAAACTATTGGACAAAATTGAATACTAGCTAAGGTAGACATACAGCCACATCCATTGCTGTGGAGCGGAGCAGACCAAAAGCCACTTCAGTGTCCAAAGCTTTCCCTACAGGTTGCAGAAAATCCCTCATAGTTTCTAGTAAATGAAGAAGTCCATAAAAATGTGATTTAAGCTGTGACCTTTTTTGGGTAGGTGAAGTGATGTCATTTAATCTTTTTTGTGTGTGTGGAATCCAGTCCACGTAAATGAACACAAGTTCAGAATGTCTGAAGAACTGGGAATAAAGTATAAAAATGAAGGCAGCAAACTGACGTCAATCCTCATAAATATGTTTTACAACTACAAAATGACAACTATGAAAATCTATCAAAATATTGGACCCTTTTTCTTGTATATATTCTTGGAGGGAATGCTGCTACACATTTAATTCTGTTTAGAGTAGAAAAGGTCTGGACTATGTTTTTCTTGAAATAGGCCCATAGTAATATTTCTTCTCTCTCCAAAATGCTTATATCATTCACAAGTGCCTGGCAGAAACCAACACTTTATAAATGTGGATGATCACTTAATAATATTCAAGGATTTTATTTAACAAATTTTAAAAATAGTTATGTAATCAACACAAAACTTGATGGCTGTGATTTTTTTAATGAAAACTTTAAGTAAGACACATCATCTTTGTTCCATACATCACTCAAAATATAAACCTTTGTAAGATAGTGGTGAAGCACAGACCCAACTTTTTTTTTTAAACACTGAAAATTAGACCTGGACAGCTCTGTGCCAAAAGAAAAATTGCAGAAACTGAAATATGGTCACTATGAAGCTCTGTATCTATTGCACCTAGGGTGACCAGACAGCAAGTGTGAAAAATTGGGACGGTGGTGGGGGTAATAGGTGCTTATATAAGACAAAGCCCCAAATATTGGGACATCTGGTCACCCTAATTGCACCTCTGTGAATTATAACTCATGCATGCAATCTGCAAACTTATGACTGCATCTTATTAGTGAGGAATTTTGCAGTTTATGGGAGTCTTGGCATTTAAAAAAAAATCACTGAACATTTTGTATCCCTTTAATAGGAACTTAAGTTTGCAAATTAACTCGGACATTTGAGCAACTTTGAAGCTACGCTTGACTTGATCTTGCACAGTGCCGATGTGGAGAGTTGTGCACATAAGCAAGGTACAAAGGAAAGAGCAGGACAGTGATCACCAAAAATCCTGGCCTGCATAAGAGCTGATACATGGCTGCCAAGCTACTGGTGCCTAGTAGTTGAAATAAGACCTATGGGGAAAAATACATACAGTAGCTAAGCTACTCATTAACACAATGAAAATCATGCTTAGACCATGTCTCCTCAGACGTTCTCCTACTGTACCGTGGACACTAGCAATTAAGGGAGTGGGTGCAACAAGACTTGGGATTTCTACTGATCAGTGTGAAGGACTACTGGGTGGCTCCTTAATCTTACTTGTGCCTGGCATTTGTGCTGTAGTAAAACACCCTTATATATCTTGCTGTGTACTATGTAAGGACTTGAAGGATCAGGATTGGGATGAACAGAGGTGGAGGAATTCAATATTTCTGTGTCGGTTTACTGACTTTGGCTGTAAGCCATGGTAATGAGGAGCCCGCAAAAGGCCTGGGATGAAATGTGGAAGGGGACGGAAGATGAGGAAGGACAAAGTAAATAAGAATGAGACAGGAACACAGACTGCTCTTGGACATGCAGCTCAGATTGAAGCTCATGGGAGGTGAATATGAGCTCTTAAGGCACAATATGGCCTATACGTTTTGTCAGTGTTCAATAATGCCTGAAGTACTTCAGAAAATGAAGCAACACATTTATTAATAATTGATATATAACTTTATTATGCACAGACTAAGATGACATGACACTGTGGTTATCAAAACTGTACAATTAAGCATTTCCCCAAGTCTTCTGAAATACTGAACACAGAACTAAATACCAATGGGGTGTTCGGACTGGCCAGAGGGATTAATGGATTCATTTCTCCCATTGATTTTTTAAAAATACATCTGTGATGAAATTTTGCTAATTAAGAACTGATTAAAAAAAATCAAAGTACTGTGTTTGGAACCAGCTGAAAACATGATAGCTAATACCAATTAATTTCATGAACACCCCATGTCTGACTGACAAAAACAGAGCACAACAGTTACCTCACAGAAAGTGCTGTCAGCATAACCAGCAGTACAAGTCTTCTTGTGAAGGATGAGGTAGATACACATTACAGAAAAGACTGGTATATACATTACAGAAAACAATTAGAAGAGGAACAAAAAGAATTTACAATCATCTCTAGAGACATTATGCAAAACCCTCTTCCATCTGGTAAATGCAATGGAAAAGCCCAGTTCAGAATGTTTTGACTTCTTAAAACGAAAATGTAACAGCTACCCAACACCAAATATTTTTAAAGGTTAAAGCTAGTGATTAGACAATATATGAACACAATAAGCAGTCTGCCTTGGAGTTTAAGTATTTCACTAATGGCTTTTATCGTCAGAAGCTGTCTTTTTAAAAGCCCAATTCTGCCATCCTTCCACCAGATACCCCACTGGACTCAATAAGATGACTTGTGAAATTCACCTTGGCAGAGAAGGCCAGCACCAATTAAGTCTCATGAGCCCCATTCTGAGTAACTAGATGGGATGTAAATGGCACATAGGCCTTGTGCTGCTCCTCTGAACAAGATAAATATCTCATTTGAGTAATGATGGCAGGATCAGGCCTCTTGATAGATTCAAGGAACTGTGGCTTTGCAGCGAAACATTCAATGATATACAACACAATATAACTTTAAAGAAACTTGCAGTAAATATAAATGGCTGTTTTATAAAAGAAGAGTTTACATTTGTAGCAGTATTCTGAATTGCAGTAGTCAATGACTGCTGCAAGGTATGGTACATTCTTCTAATAAAGCTATTAATTGGGAAATGCCCTTGTTTTACTTCTCTTGCCTACAGAAGAGACTGTTCAATCCTATAAGAAACTACACTTGCATTTGATGAAATCCATTATCCAATTAACATATTGGTAATTTTCCATTAACTCCGTTTGAAATACTCTTAACTCTAAACAGCTAAGTACATCAAAATGAGCCTATTAATTTAAATTGTATCCTGGATATAAGGCTAAAAAGTCAATTTTGTTTTTATGCACTGTATTTTTTGGTTTGTCAGTTTGGAAATATAAATCTGTAAGTTTTAAAATTAGAGTAAATTATTGATAAAAATCATTGATAATGCAGCATGTTTCTCTCAACAATATACAATTAGCTATCTTACACAAAGGGTTTTAACCTGTCCATCACAACAACAGAATTTTCTAAGACTTCCTATGAGACACTACTTTTTTTAATCTGAGAAGGAAAGGGTTAAAATGGTAATAAGAATTTACAAAAAATGTAAAATTCACAGTAACTGAAATTAAACATATATCGAGTAATTTAAATTTATCTAAAACACTTAAATATATCTTTATACACAAATTTAATGTAGTAAAATATAGCTATGATTGACTTAAAGACTTTAGTCTTCTTTGAAGACATCTTTAAAGATTTTATACATAGAATATGCTTACACAATACATTCTGCTGAAGGTTAGGCAAAGCGCATTATTTTCAAAGACACAGGTAGCATATTTGTTCTCCCCACACGAAGGACTCAATCCTGCAAACACTTATGTATGTGAGTCATTCTGTTGAACTCAATGGAATTATTCATTGGTCTGATCTTGCAAAGGATTTCACATGTGCTTAACTTTACTCACTGTGAGCAGTTCCCATTGACACAGACTGATCACAGGGCATAAAGTTAAGTACATGGATAAGCCTTTGCAACATCAGGGTTGGTCTGTAAGTTTACCCATGTGCATAAACATTTGCAGGATCAGAGACAAATGTGTTTAAAAAATTAAGGGAAAAATTCTGCTATCTGATCCTGAGTACGTATCTCTATTGCACATTTTGATCTCATGATACAGGCTGAATATCCATTGACAATATGAGTTGTATACATGGCATAAGTGTAGAGTTAGCAATAGAAAAATTGAGTTCAGACTTAGGAGAATATCACCCTAATATAAAGAATCCTATTCTCCTGCTGTAGAATACAAGCAGCCTCTACTAAAGTCATTCATATCCTGTGACAAGAGAATAGCGTTCACTTTAAAAAACAACCCCAAACAAACCAAAAACAGAGGAATCAGAGCATATTACAGTTGCAAAGTAACACCATAATATTCAAAGTAATTCACATCTAATTTTTCCCTCCATTTGGGATTTATTGTAAGGTCAGGGTATGGCAAAAGCACTAAAATAATACTATGAAAATTAGTGCCTTATTGCCCATCTCACATTCTAACATTACTTTGGGAATATCCAACTGCAAAGTTCATATGACTAACTAGTAGTTTGACACAAACCGCTGTGGACTGTTATCTTAAAAGAACAGTTTAATTTTTATACGCAGTGTTTTATACAGATAGGCTCGGTTGTATATTCGTTGTGCACTCAAAATCACTGTGATGTCAACTGGAATTCGAGCCACACAAAGAATGTAGGACTGAGCCAAGTATATTTCAATATACTTTTTTCTATATTAGTTTCAAAATATGCATATAAACTAAAGAGCCAATTATAAATATCTAACAACATCCTCGTGGGTGGGATATTAATATCATTTTCCCTGTCTAAAAAATAGACATGCTAGATTAAGTAAAATGGTGTATACTGTGGTATATACATTTGCATAAAGATATTTCATTAAGTATACACACATTAACATTAGTGCATATTATCTTTCTTTAATCTTTGTGTGTATAGTGGGTAAAAACCCCTAACTGAAGATAGTTTTGGCCCAGTGAACAAGAAAGGGAATGTTGCTTTAGTGAGCATTATAATTACCAAAGGCAAACATATTTTAAACACCTGAAACTGTATACAAAACAAGAACGCAGGTAAGATGCTATAGCAGTCAAGCTCAAGAAAACAAGGCGCTATTTTGAAGTGGTTAAATATAGCTGAAGTAATAAAATGGTTTTTAACCAAGTAGATCTGAGCTTGAGACTTTCTTCTTCTGATGTGTAGGAATCCTTTGACATAAGATCTCCTTTATTCTACTTATCTTGTTGAAATCCCTTTACGAACACCTTATCAGTGAAAAGGTTTAGGAACCAAAAATTATTTTGTATAGACAAAGCAGCATTTTTCAAACTGGCATGTATTTCGCACTGAGAGCCCACACACCCTTTTAACAGGTTGCAGTACTGTAGAATTAATAGCTTTGTCTCATGTAGCATAACATGCTGTAGAAAGGTCCAAAGACTGTATTTATCCAGAAGATCCGGTGATTTTTTTTTCTACAGTGAAATCCCTCCTTTCTCAAAAGAAACCAAATTAATCCTTCCAACTTTAGACAGCTAATGTCAACAAACTGTCTCTTTGAACCTCTGCCCTCCTATGATGCTCCTTGGACTTATTTCCCCTTGGGTTAGGCTGTACTGCTGCTAGAACAGGGGGTGCTTTGTGTGCTGCCGATACTGTGTGCGGCACTGCTGTTTTCAGAGGCTGGTGGGTATGTGGGGACCTGCTGTCTTCCTGCTGTTTCCCCTGGGGGAAAAAAAAAAAAGGTAAATGGAAATGTTATATGCTACAGCAAAAATATTTCTACCACCTTCCAATGTTCTTGTCATTTTTATTTCCATAAAAACTGTGCACTGGATATACATTTCAAATGGAAACATTTGTTAAAAATGTTACTTGATTTTGACACCTCTGGGTAGTATTTACATGGAAAAAATCTTTTCTAGCTGCTTTCTTAATTGTATAAAAGCAGCTGACAGTGAGCTCAGCTATGGATGCTGTGTGTATCCTACGGTCAGCTATTTATCAACTGAGGTTCAGTCACCATACTCCTGGGGGAATTCTGTGCAATGGGGGAGAAGGGTGCGGGAATCTGGGCCAGGGGGTCCCTGTGGCTGGGCTCTGGGGGAGGGGGTTCAGGTGTATTGGCTGGGGGGCCCCCGTGGCTGGGCTATGGGAGAGGGGTTGTGGGTAACTGGCCTCCCATCTGGGGGGCGGGGGAGAAGGGGTCAGAGAAACAGGAACTGGTTTGTCATAGAGGTTTCTTTAACTCTCTACTCCTGGGGGAATTTTTGTGTGTGTCTGTATTGTTACAGACATACTTGTTGACAGGTCTTTTCAAATAAATTACCAAAATAATTGAAGGTGGCGTGATTATGTGGCGCTGTTTTGACAAATAAAATTTGCAGAATTTTAAAATATTATGCACAGAATTTTTAAATTTTTTTGGCGCAGAATGCCCCCAGTAGTATCCCATAACTCAGATCAGGATCAGACCCTAGATTTTTTGGTGGGCTTTTCTGTTTGATGGAAAACAGCTAGAAAAGTGTAGAACATTTTGTCTTAATGCCAACACATGGAGCAGTGCATTTACTAAAACTAATGAGTTGGATCTGAAAGCACTCTCCTCCCTCTCCTCAGTCACAGGAGGATGGCACGTATCGTGAGACAGACAACCATTTGTTTTCAGAGTAGGAAAATGGCCTATCCTGTAATGCTGAGTTGATTTGCATATCCCACTCTAAATGTAATGTAGCAAGGGTTACAGCAAGCTTCCACATAGCTACTACAGTATGAGCAGTAGTTACAGCACAGTATAAGGTACAATATTCTTGCAATTTCATGCTCAGAGTGTAAGTACACACACACACTACTGTTAAAAGAATGTTATTTGGATTACAAAGTCAAGCACTAAAAAGTTAGAAAATGCCTGATTTTATTGATGCCTGTGCAATATTAATACTTCCCTTTTCTTGTCCATTTTGTGCACTGAATGAGGCAGAGGTCCTGTGGGGGGAAAAATAGTATGATTGTGTAATTAAAGATAGTATCACAATGCATATGGGGGAGAGGGGGATTAAGGTTGCACAGGCAACCATAAATCTGGCATTGCCTAACTTTGAAGTGCTTAACTTTGTAACCTTAATGTTCTTTTAATGTAGTCCTGTGGTTTCCTAATGTTTTTTTAAAGAAAAAGGTTACAAATTCTATTATTTGGATCTGTAGCCCTCTTCCCAATCATCAGCGGTGTTAGAACCCAGAGTCTTCAGCATTACAGCACAGCCCCTCCCTCCAGCTGCCTGCCTGCCCCCTCCGCCCCCGGGCTGGCCCCAGCCGGCTCCCCGCTAGAGGCTGTCGCTGGTTGCTCAAACCATGACCTCCCACATCCACATCGTTCCTCCACACCGCACCACTTTTTTGACAAGTGGGCATTTGTCCCGTTTGCTCTTGCCAACTGATCCAACTTTTGCCAAGAAAGTCGGGATGGACAAGACAGAGCTTAAAATGGGACTGACTGTCCTGGCCAAAATGGGGCGCATGGTCACCTTAGGCCTAGCAGCAAGAGGGGAGACAGGATTGCTGATTCTGGAGAGTGTTCAGGGGAAGCCCAGGCCAGCCACAGCTGGGATAGCTACTGTCCCATGAGTTGCCCCCAGATGGGTGACTGACCCCTGGTACCATGTGTGGGGTCCATAGGGGCAGTTGAGGGGACGCCGACCTTTCTCTCCCTCCCTCCCCCACTCCTTCCCTGCCCAGGAGTTGTGAGAGCTCCTACCACACGTGGTGCCCCCAGTGGTAAATGGGCTACGGGGGGGGGCATGTGCTGGATCTTAGGATTTACAGGGGTGGAGCAGACTGGCTCACACTCCTCCTTGTCCCCTAAAAGCTGCTCTGGCAGCTCTCTGTTGTTCCCACTGCAGTGTGTGCGGCTGCGGCAGCAACATGAGCCCAGCCTTGGAACGGTTCAGAAATTTTGGCAGGTTGCCAAAATTTTCCGGAGGAACCCCAGTGACAGAAAGGAAATGGTGATTTTTAACACTTTGTAACTCACCCCATTTTTTTTATTTAAAAACATTATATTTTATGTAAAAACAATACAAATAAACATTTAACAAAACACATATAAGCAACATTAAATGTCACTATTTGTAAAACCTGGAAAAAACAAAATAAAAAAAACTCTGACCCCATAGAGGTCAGGCAGGGCATCAAAGCTCACCCATATCTGAATGGAATATCATGGGCGAATGAAGAGGCACTTCTGCAGCACAAGGAGATTCCCACCTACTAAATATCAAAGCCCTGCTGCAAACAATGGAGGTACGAGAGCTTGTCAAGAGAAGAGGTCACAAGAGTCCTTCACAATGAAAAGTGCTAGGCAACCTAAATATAGGGGTTGCTACCAGCTCATCCTACAATCACTGCCGTATGCCTAACTAGTAATACCTACTACCTAAAGAGTGCACAGCTTTTGCCTTGCACCCCACTATTTTCAAAAATAGGAAGAAAACTCTCCACAAACACTCTTCCTCAATTAAGTCAATGGCGCTGCATTGCTTTAACAGAGGTCAGAATTTTGCCCATGGATTCAACACTAAATAAGACATTTAATTTTGTGAGGCAGTTTCTGATCTGTACAAATCCAAAGTAATTCCACAAATTATAGACTTCTTTTATGTATAACTGAATCTAGCACAGCATTTCTTAAATAAAATGTTTCATTCCTATCTTTTCATTAGAAAAGCTTTGTATATAAACAAAGTAAACTATAGCAAGTAGTTTCTTGTTGTGTTATCTTATTATAAGCTTTTCATAAACCTCGTTTGGGCATTTTCTCCTTCATTATAAAATGTTCCTCTATCCATTAGTTGTTTTGGGTATAAGCCTCCCTTCCTGTCATGTTAAAGGACATATCTATAAGTCAGTGATAAGCAAACTCCCTTTCATAAAAAAAAAAATAGAAAAAGCTGTTACCACTGGAACACAGGAACTGCAGTTACTTCCATTCCCTTAATAGGGCCCCTCAAAATCTCTGCCAAGAAAGCAGTTCTGCAAAATGCAGAACTGGCCCATATTCCCTGCTGTTAGGTCTTATTACAGCTTCACTGTCACCCATTTTACAAACCGCATGATTACACATAGTTTTGCATCAGCCACAGCATATCAATACGATCTGTATAAACTCAACCATAACTTAGTTTATATGCTGAATACCTCTTCTTTTTTAGGAAAAATGACAAGCACAGCTGTCACAATCTCTTTAGAAGCCAAATAGCACTACACACTCCATTCCTCCGCTCTTCTGGAAAACTTCCTAGGAGGCATCTTCCTTTAAAAGTTTGGGGGATGAGCACTTTGCCTCAGTGGCAAAGACACTGCTGTCATTTGATTTCCTCTTCACTGCTCCAAGTCTAGAAAATTATTGGCCGTTCTGACATATAACAATCTGTTTGTGTAACAGAGATACCAGCACAATTTGCACTGTCCTTTAATTGAAGTATCAAAATCTTAGTGAGATTATGAACAGAACCTACCAATATATTTAGACTGACTTTTGCTTAGTCTTATAGTTATTTTTCATCACCTTGATAAACTGTCAAATTATTTTGATTTTTTTATTGAGAGGATTTAAGTGAAGAGAAAAAAATTATTTAATATACCACCACCTACTGCAGCTTCTTGTGTCTAATGTTAGTGCTTGATCACTCCTCAAAATGGCCATGTCCTATCTATTGACAGTAAACAAGCTTTTACCCATCTGAATGTGACAACATGTACTTTATTATTCACACTTAGGAAAACTGCCAGTAGTACTCCCTGTCCAGGAAGTCTGAATGTTTGCTTTTCTATCTCCATTTGCCAAATATAATTGGTTGCTATGTCAGTTTATTTTAAATCAGATCCCATTTTAAAAACAAGAGAAGGGGAGACCTTTAACTTCCAGAGTTCTGGAAAATTTTATCTTGTTAACTTGAAGCATTGTCCGAATAAGAGAAAATCATACTTTCTAAGAGGATTAGGTGACTGATATGTGTGCCATACATAATGCAGGGTTTAAAATTGTTGGGTTTATGTTTAGCAAAGTCTAATAAGTTATCAAGCTGTTCCATGTCCCTTATTTATTCCTTAAGCATGACAGTTTATTCACTTAGAGCAGGATTCTCCAGTCATAGATAATTTCACAATTAACTCCTGAAGGGTTACTGCACACAAACAGGACTGCAGCAAGACTTTTACTTCTTCTAAAGAGGCTCAGGTAAAGGGTATTCAATACTAGCCAAGCTCCTCTGCCTTCCTTTGTTCTAGGATCCTCTCCAGACAGATATTCTATTATTGTGGAAAGGTTGGTAGCCACCTTTCAAGTTTTTTAACCAGTTGGAAAAAATAGACTAAAAGAGAGAGCTCTGGACTGAGAAGGAAGACAGAGCACCTCTCAACTGCCCTGCTCTCTTCTTTGCCTCTCCATCCTTTAGTACTCTCTGAACTCAAAGCCCTGTGTGCTCAATGGCAAACTGGACCCAAATTTTTCAGTAAAGCTCCAAGATTTTTGTTGACATTCTGGTGGAAACTTTGCAGCAGTTTCAGATAATTTTTTTAAATGTTATTTGAATGAAATAATAAAAATGAGTAATACAATCAATAACTAAGCTACTGAGTTGTTTGTTTCAATATCCAATTGCATTTATTTTATGTTGTTTCTACATTTTCAGTTATCTTTTGGTTTCAGCGTTAACAATCCATTAAGATGAATGGGGGAGTTCATCCATTTAGGGCCTGGTCTATATTAGAAAGTGTTTGCTGGTATATACTAGCAAGCCTTCCTAATGTTGACACAGCTAATACCAGCAAAGTAATTCTTTTCCTGATGTAGTTTATACCAATTCCCCAAACAAAATAAGGTAAACTGGCAAAAATATTTCTTTTGTTGGTATAACTGCATCTACAGTCTGGCTTTTGCCAGTATCAACAGTAATTTAAAACCCCTCCCACCCTCTCCTCCCCCACCAAGCATCACTACTATGAGAGTAAAAGTTTTTAGTGTAGACCAGGCCTAAGAGAGATTGTTTCACGCTGCCTGCAAACCTAGAATGAAACCATGGCACCACTTTTGAAATATAATGTTATGTAAAATGAAAGTTGGATTATGCTCTGGAATCCCAATTACAAGGGGTGAATTATATGGCTGTAGTACACACAGGACCCCATCTAAGATATGGAGCTTAGCTATATATTTATTTATGTTTTAATCAAAAATGTCTTCAGCAGACCCCAAAGCCTTTCAGACGGGGCTGAATTATATTGTCCCCTGCAATTCTCCACCGAGGGGTTATGGTGGCCAGGGGAAGTCCCTGGTAGCAAATCTCTACTACAAATCCCAATTTGTAGATGCAAGTGACTGTGTGTGTGGGAAAATATGTGCACAGGAACAGCAGTCCATTTTGAGGCTCCTTTGAAAATCTGGCCCCCTATATCTAATTTCTAAAATTCTCTAATCCCAGGAATTAGAGAGCCTGCTTCCTGTCTTCCCTTTTATTCTTTCTTCTTACACTTTTTCCCACTTATTTTTGTCTCTCAGGCAATAAGGAAAGTCAGAACAGCTGCTCCACTTGCTATTTACTTGGTAATTATGACTGATGTAGTTAGTCACTAATTATTTTAATAGGGTTGGTCCAAATTCCATTATGTTGAAGGATTTATTATGTCAACTTCCCATTGTTTTTGACAACGGGATTTTGTCAATTTTAATTACTCTCTCTTGTGTAATGCTGCTATTTATTAATACTATAAAGTTTAACACACAACTTCTGACATACAACACATGTCCCTCTAGATATCTCTATAATTGAACAGAGATTCAATATCTATTGATAAAGGATGAAGGCTTAACAAAACATTAATTCATTCCAAAATTCTTTAAACTTGTTTTTGTTAAAGTGATCTAATTGGAGATTCTTTCCTTAACTTGTATGTTTTACCCACAGGAACTGTATCTCCCGTTCTTCCCCCATGTTCCAGCAATGGAACATTTATATTTATCACACCCTTTAAGGTACCCAAATTTGCTTTTGGCTTCCAAATCAGCTTCATACACAGCTAATGTATTCAGAAATATTAATTTTCTTATCAAAAGCTGTTGTATAATCAATTGGAAACAGATTTCTGCCAGTTAAATTCTGAGCTTATATTGTTTACAGAAGCTTTGACTATATAAGGCCAGATTCTGGCCCCTATACCCTGCTCCAGTGGCATGAAGCAGTTGCAACAAGTTAGGAGAGAAGTCCCTTGACCCAAGAGCAGCATAGGGTTGACACTTCACCGTTCTTCGCCCCGCGCCCCAACCCTGGGTGGCCAGGAGTAGAAGTGGCCCAGAGCACAGACTACTCTGGGGATTCTGGGCTGGAGAGCAGCCCATAGAAAGCGTAACTTTTTAAAAACTGAGAATTTTAATTAAACCAATGCAAGGTTTTGGGTAAACAAAGCCTACGAAACATTTTAAATTGCAGTTGTAGTCAGAAAAGGGCCTATGTAAATATGGCATCTTTTTAGTCATTTGATCTGCTCCTGGTATGTAGTCAAAGTCACATCTGCTTACTTTAGTAGCTAAAAAGATTTAATGGATTCTCTTCTGGCTCACACATCAGTAGAATTAACTAAATTCCAATTACAGAATCTTTATTGGTGATGGCACATGAGCTATAAAATCTCAGTTGGACTTTCAGATCCCAGGGTAAGTTTTCACGGTTAGCAGTCGAAAAATCTCCCAGTTTCTAAACAAAATATCAAAAGACATAATATCCCCCCATTACCTAGAGGGGCAGATACAGCTACCTGGTTAACACCTTCAGTCTGCTGTGGGGAGTTGCTGGAAAGCACCTTAGGGAGAACGTGGAAAGCAGCAAAGAAGACCTAGTCTCCTGACTCATAAGTATTAGATCTCACTGCCTCCATTGCAATGTGCTATGCCAAATGGAATCTGGTGAAAACAACTGTACTAACCTGTGTGAGAATAGATAAACCACAGTGCTCCTGTCAGCAGTGCTCCAATCACAAATGCTGCAAATGCGATGCCCACAACGGTCAGAGTGTCCAGTCCATAGAAAACTGCTATAAATAAAAATCAGTTTTTTCATTTTGAATGCTGAATAGTACTTTTAAAAATCCCTCCTCCCTTTTTCACAGTTTTGTGACATTTTCATATTTAATTAACCATCATTTTAAACGCAAGAAAAGAAAGCCCCATGATACTTAGCAGATTACTGTGATTTGTGTCTAAGGAGGACAAGCAATGCACATGCTTGCAGAGGTGAGCATGAAGAATGTCTTTAGTTTAACAAACTGTTCTGAGTCACAAAGCAAAAACCCAGCTCAAAACATCCCAAATCTAGCAAAACCAGAATGAATTCAAAGTGTTCTCAGTTTCTTGTTAATTATTCTTTGTTTTCAGTTAAATGTCAGGTTTAACTGAAATATATATTTAAAAAGGCTGTGAAGTCTTGCTAAAAGAATACTTTTTATTCACATCCTACCATTCAAGCCAACTTTACTCTATATCCTCTGCAACTTCAGCCCTATATCTAGGTGGAGAACGGAAGCGCTGTTAAGTAAGAAGTGGTGCCAGCTCAAAAGTCAGCAAAAACATAAATAGGAGCAATTGTTTTTCATATTTGGCAATGTTCTTAATAACAAATTAATTCCAGATCACAAAAATAGAACAAAAAAGTCAGTTTCTAGGGGAGGGGACCTTTATGCAGTATAGTTTGTACGGTACTGCATCTGGTTCCTGAATGTATGTCTCCAAATGTTACTTACACAATTACAGCAACTTCCAGCCATTGTCTTGTATATTTCTTCTCTTTGATCAAAGACACCTTAATATGGTTCTCATACTGAATCAATTATTTTTGTAGTTTTTCTTACGACTAATTTCAGATGTAGTATTTCTAATGTCTCCCATAAACATATGAAATTATTTAAGCTAGTGAATAACTTTTTAGTAATTGAGTAAATAATGGAAAAGAACTGAACACACAGACTCCAATTCACCCCAGCGTCTGTGTTGGTGGGTGAGGGGGACACGGAGGAGGCTGGCCAGGGAATGCTTAGTAGATCTCCTCCAATTCAACTTCTTTCTATCTAGTTTCCTGCATCCAGAAGAATTCCCTCGAAAAGGCAGGCAGCAGCACCTCTACTTGCTTTCCCTCTGTCATTGATAGGTGCATTTGCATGGGTACTATACCTTTAAGGCCCCTGCTTCCACTAAGGGAGCTCTTCAGAATCCCTTTCTGAGTATGTGCAGCCAGATTTGGGACAGAAAGAATAGCCTAGGTAGTGGCTCACTGGAGTTTTCTCCTATTTTTGACATTTCTGAGTCACTTGCTCATGTTTGGTTATTTGAAATCCAAACTATAATTGTGTTTGTTAAACAGAGATGCCTCATCTACAACTGCATCATCTCATCATCTTCTTGCCTTTAAGATGCAGTTCACTGACAACTAGATCCCACTCATAGCAGGACACAGGTAGCCCAGCTGGTGGAGGGAGGTAAATTTTATCATTCCCTGTGTCACATTGTGTGAATCTAGTTCCAAGACCCAAAGAGACAAGCTCTTTCCCTTCATTTCTTTCACTCCTCACTTTCTAAATTCTCACTCTTCAGCTATCATTTTTCCTTCCCTCCCATCTGCAATGTATTTCTGGTGCTACCCACTCTCCTCAAGAGCTGACTGGGCCCTTTAGCATGGTTGAGATTTTCAGCGTCAGGGGAGTTGTGGAAGCTAATGTTGAACTCAGAGTGAAAGTCAGAGCCACATTTTATCACATCTGTGGTAGTCTTGGATGTAGGAGTACTGCAGTCACCTATACAAATTACTGCTCTCCCGTCATGCATTCCTCTCTCTTAAAGTTAGTGGGAATGGCCCAGATCCTGGGAGTCATGTGCCTAACTATATTTGAGGATCTGGGATACTGTCCCCAGGGGCACTAAAACCAAAGACTTAATTCTGTTCTAAGTTTAAAAAGCTTTACGATAAATTCTCTTTGACTTAACCTTTTGTCTGGAAGTCGTTAGATCAGTGGTTCTCAAACTGTGGATCAGGACTCCAAAGTGGGTCACAACCCTGTTTTAATGGGGTTGCCAGGGCTGGCATTAGCCTTGCTGGGGTCTGAGGCTGAAGCTGAAGCCCAAGCCCCACTGCCCAGGACCAAAGCCTGACGGCTTCAGGTTATAGACCTCCTGCCTGGAGCTGAAGCTCTTGGGATTTCGCCTTTGCCGCCCCTCCCCCCCTTCCCCGCCCAAGGCGGCGGGACTGGGGCAGGCTTAGGCTTCAGTCCCCCTTCCTGGGGTTGTATAGCAATTTTTGTTGTCAGAAGGGGGTCACGGTACAATGAAGTTTGAGAACTCCTGTGTTAGGTCAACAAAGCAGACAGATACGCATAACTTACGTGGCTGCATCCCACTGCCTTTTGGCTTGTGAGTAGGTGGACCTGTTTTAAAAAGACAAACAAACAAACAAAAAAACCCCACATTAATTGTATGATGCTCCATAGAAATACTACACACTATATAAGCAATCTTCAGCATCTCACTGGGAGGAAAGTCTACATGCACATGTTTTGATTTGTACATTTCCACTGTGCTCTGTGATGTGCATAAATTACTTGGTATTCTATCTTATTTATACCGGAAGACAAAAATCATAGCTATGATGTTAAAGCTACTATTTTGAAATAATAATCAATCATCATCAACATGGAATGAAAAGAAATACCAAAACTGTCTTTAAAAATGCATCATTACCCCTACTCTCTCTCTTATTTGGTATCCCTTCTTCATATACATGCCTGGTATCTCCACAGAGGAACTATTAGATGTCAGGAGTCCCCTTCCTCTCAGGATACCCAGGCCAACTTGAGGAGCCAAAAACCCAGATTTGGATTCTAATTCAAACATTGTGTTTGGTAACCCACGTTGCAATCTCTAGATCACCAACCTGCCCAAAGAATTTAAATTCTGACATGTTTGAATGTACCAGATGCTTCCACTATGAGAAGATTTGGCAAGGTACTGTAATGATACATATTTTTATATCTTTTAACAATTGGAAAAAAATTGCTTTGATCAAGGGGCAAGTTCTAGAAGTTTCAAAATATATTGAAAGTTATTAGTTTTCTCTGTATTGTTTATCCATCATGTATTTATATGCCAGGATTCGTGTTTCAAACCTCTTCAGTAGCAACTGCATTAACTAACTTGAACTACACAGGGTACCATGTGGCCAAAATTCTATATCTGGTTCATTACATTTTCCTCTCAGAAACACATAGCTGTAATATCCAAACCATTTTTATTTACTCTGAGAACAAACTAAAGCAGTGTAGTTTACCAAGTGGCTATCTTTTTTTTTTTTTAAATTATATCATCCATGCAAGTGGACTAGACAAGCACGTTAAAACAAGAATGGGGAAATTGGGACAATGTTAACGTTTTTTGAGTGACCTTAAGAATTTGTTTCCTGAGAAGTGTTTTTTTTTAATTTATACATTTTGGAATATGTTATTGGTTTTAATATCTCAACCTTAGCTCTCTCAAAATGTAAGTTTTTTTGTTTGTGAATATACTAACAAGCTATCAAATGGAAGTCAAAGCAGAAGTATAAATGAATGTAATGTTTATGAAAGGCAATGGATTGAAACACTAGAAAGTGAAATAGTACAACATGGGTAGCAGCACTATAAGTCTGTCCATATATCCAGCTAGCATATCCCAACCTTGGACTAAACAGAGAGTGTCTCCAGTGGTGACAGGAATTAATTTTCCATGCTAATTCTGTCATTGGCCTCTCCACAGAATAGGAAGGTTGCCAAACAACAAACAACAACTACAACAACATTGCCAATTCACTGCATTAGTTATCCAGTTCCTTGGCATTAATGTGTGTTGCTTGCTGCAGCTTTGTGCCACACAAGAGGGGTGAGTGCGCCCAGGAAAAGTGTATAATTTTAAAATAATAGATGCCAGCTTTAAGTAACACACATGGTTTTCTATATCTTGGTTTAGGAAAAGCGCTTGTCAGTTGCTCATGACCTCTTTTCTGTGATCTTGCTCCCTTCACTGAAAAAACCCCCCCCAATATTTTCCACATCTTGCATAAATTGAACAAATAGGGAAATGGACATATATTCTTCTGTTGAAAAGTTCAATTTCATAGACTTTAAATAAATTTCTTTCTACACCTTTCATTTAAATTGTGCCAAAGAACAGATATGACTTAAAGATGCCAGGATATGGATAATTTTTTTTTAATTTTATTTGTTTGGCCATTTTTAGGAGGTTTCATGGGAATCTGATACAATAAGGTGAAGAAGCAAGCTTGTAAAAACCTATAAAGCAAAATGCAAACTAGAGGAGGGTGTTTTCCTCTAAATATACAGCCATGGTTTCCATTACAGTCAATGGAAGTCACGTGCATGATGTATGGAGAAGAAAACAGACACCTTTGCACTGAACAATTTGTGCTGGCTCCCAAAATGTCAAACGTACAAGCATCTTCATTTGGCTTACAGAGCAGATGTAACATAATAGTTCCAATAACATGGTTTGTAACAATACCCATGAAAGCTGGCCTGTTCCACATCAAAGCAAATGATAATTGACATCTCTAAGATGCAAATACTCTTATTTTAGTAGTGCAATATAATTTGTTCTCAATCTTACAGATTCACTGTGCAGTCAATCACAGCAGTTACCCTTTAGAAAAGGGCCATTTGATTCATTGTGGAACAACTGCGTATCAAAGATGTTAAGGTGCTAATAGTTGTGCGTTATGCTCAAAATCTGCAATATGCTGGGAAGAGTTCCACCAAACATTTAGACAAGATCACCCACAATGCAACAATAGAGTCTATCAAGCAACTGTCTCCTAGTAAATCTGGTTTGACTTTTACACACTAAGGCCTGGTCTACACTGGGGAGGATCGATCTAAGTTACGCAACTTAAGCTACGTGAATAATGTAGCTGAAGTCAACGTACTTAGATCGACTTACTGTGGTGTCTTCACCGTGGTGAGTCGACTGCTGCCGCGCCCCCGTTGACTCTGCCTGCACCTCTTGCCGAGCTGGAGTACAGGAGTCGACAGGAGAGCGCTCGGGGGTCAATTTATCGCATCTAGACTAGATATGATAAATCGACCCCCACTGGATCAATCGATTGCTGCCCGCCAATCCGGCACGTAGTGAAGACATACCCTTAGACCTTGTACTCTTTATACAGACATAACTCCAGTTGAAGTTATCCATGGAAGTTGCGGACACAGCCCCGCACATCCAAAAGGAGAATAGAGCTCTGGGTGTAAATCTGTTTGCTGAAGGATAAACATCAGTTACCCAGTTTAATGTGTTCTGTCAGGAATGGGTAATCACTGAGATCAGTGGGAGTTTTTCCATGAGGAAAGAGTACAGAATCAGGCCCAAAAGCATCGTTTTAATTGTACTGCATTTACCAATCAAATACTTGCCTTTAATTCTTAGTGGATTTAATTTGCATTAAAAAGAATCGTGTAAAAACATGGGCTTCCTTGCAGAGTTAAACAAAAACAGTTGTTGCTTATGTCCCCCAGCAATGTTCCATGTAATCCATATGCTGTTTAAACACTAAAAAGCATGCACTGCAGCACTGAGGTTAAAGGATTTCTGATCCCCCATCCTTTGACTCTCTCTGGAAAGCATTCCAAAATTTCAATCAGACGTTGTATGCAAATGGAAGATTTTGAGCTGCAAGTGAAGCTACTGAAACCCTCTAAACTGCAATGCTAGAGCTAAAAGAGAATTGCATTGTTCAATGTTTTATTAATGTTCAAAGGAGCAGAAACAGGGAACAAGGCACTGACTCAAACTGAATTGGTCTACGGGGTCTAACAGGGACACATGAGGTGCTGGCAAAAACTCAGGAATACTTGGCTTTCTGGAAATTAGCTGGTGATTGCTGAGTCAGTCTGCAGTAGAGCTGATCTTTCCCTGCAAGATATACTGCTTGAAATGAGTAGAGACAGGATTGTGTCCTTCAGAAGTACCTGAAACAGAAGCAACTGATACTGCCCTGATGTTTACATAGGCTATCATTACTTGGTTACCATAGTTACCATTTGCTGGTCCTGAATCACACACTCATAGGCTTGGAGAACTAGGGGATTGCCTAGAGCTCCAGGAGAGTAATACTTCTGCTTCACAAGCAACCACTCTCTCAGCCTGGGATGTGAGGTGCACACTCTGAAAGCCTGCCACCAGCAAGGGTGGCAAGGAGGAAGGGGGAGAAGTAAATAAAAGGCATACACATCATGCCAGAAAAGTCTGAATGATTGGGGGAGAAGGCAAATTCTCTTGCAATTGAATCCGTGTCTTTTCCCCAGCTGTCACCATAGAATGCAGACCCACAAATGTAAGATGTTCTCCTGATGGAGAGGGTGAAAGAGGATGGTGGGGAAATGGCCACTCATAGGGGAAGGAAGGTTAGAAAAGTGGAAACAAGTTTCCTGTTTGTCATCATGGTCAACCACACTCAGAATATTCCAAGCTTTGAAAGAGAAAGCAGAGGAGGGACTATGCACTAAGAAAGGGAAGCTGCTTCTAGGAAACCAGCTTAAAAGGGTGAGAAGTGTCTAGCGTGCTGGGTAAAAAGGGTTCCTACATACCTTGGAATGTTTGTGTCAGTAAGCTTCTGGGGATTCTTCCTTAAAAGTGAGATTTTTTTCCCCCAAGTAAACTCATGTCTACATGGGGAGTTACTCGCAATTAGCTCCGTGTGTGGATGTTCTTATTCCAGATTAAACTAATTCGAAGAGAGTGGATGTTGAGATGGGGAAGAGGGTGTTAGTGCCCACCAAGGACATGGGAAATACCCAAGCTTGTCAGAGGCTTGTCAGAGGACAGGGAGCCTCTGTAGGGCAGGGATGATGTTGAGGCTAGAAGGGTGGAGAGAAAAGGCAACTTGAACCTCTGAAGAGGGTCCTGGTTAAAACTCTTATTCCTGGGCAGAGCTTTGGGGCTCTCCACACCAAAGATTGCCAGAGTACAAAGGTTCAGAATCACAAGCAGTTGAGCAGGATGTCAGGAAAGGGAGTCTAGAATGGTGTCAGGGTTCCGGAACTAAGTGAGTGCTGGACCTGAGTCATCTTCCTGGCTATTGCCCTGGAGCATTTCCTGCACCAGACAGGGACTGAGGAATCGGAGATGTCAGTAGAGGCAGGATTCTGGGTAGGGCACAGAGTGCAGGATGGCTCTGATGTTAGCTTTAAGTGAGCCTGAGAGAAGCCAGTTTGGGCAGGTGGATCCTCATATGAAGGGAATGATCATGGTACAGGGGATTGCTAGGAAGGAGGCTAGGCCCAGCTGTTTGAATGAGCCATGGAGGAAAAGCTAGACCATGGAATCAAAGTGGAAACACCAGAGAAGAGTTCCTGTGAAGTGTGAGTGGCACAGGCAGCAAAGGCATGTGCTGTAACCCAACAACAGGAGGGAGACGGATAGGAGTATCAAAGGTGCAATGCCTGAGCTGCTCATAGCCCCAAAGCAGCAGAAAAGTTGACCTATAGCTACAGAGTTGTGGGTGCTGGCAGGGATGTGAGGAGGGAGCAGAGTCCTTATCTCCCAAGAGCAAGCTGTAGTGGGGAGACAGCATCAGACAGGCTATTGGAGGCTGAAGGAGCTCCCTGGACAAAAGACAGCTGATTACAAGTGAATCAGTTCAGAAATTTGAAGGATGGATTTAAGTGAGGGTTTTGCTGACTCTGAACTGTTTTTTGTTTAGACCTTTTCAGTCACCCTCGCTCAGAGCATCTAGTACAAAACCAGAGTTTTCTATCTGCTACCCAGGTTCTTCTCCTTTCTTCCTGAACCTCCTCTCTTTAGTGTTTAGGCTTTTCTTTTCCTTTCTTAAAGGAAGAGAACTAAGTCAAATGCTTCATGTTTACAAGAACAAGGAGACAAAAGAATTGAAGAAATGTGGATGGGCTGTCATTTCTATACAGACCTTGTCAGCCCCTTTGCCTCCAGACTTCTTGGCAGGTAGAGCCATAATGCTGTCTGCTCTAACTGCCTCTGCTGGGAAGACGGCAGAAATGGACTATTTGACAAAGAATCATGTGCATTAGAAGCAGCACAGCACCCAGGAATCGACAAATTTTCATGACTCTGTACTTGGAGTTTTTTGTAAAAATGCTAAATGAGTTAAACAAACCCCAAGAAAACCAATGAAACACTACAGTTTCATCTCTTCATCTTACTGATCTAATCTTCTAGTGAAGCTGGTTTCCCTGTGGCTACCCCTATACTTTACAAACCCCTCAAGCTTTAATATTTCCAATACATTGAAATTTCAATGCAATTACCATGCTTAAATATTTTCAGCCACAAAGAAGAAATTATACAGAAGATAGTAAAGAATTGCTTTCAATTTCCAAACAAGAATGAATTGCTAGAAGCAATTCTGCTATATTAATACTTATGAAACCTATATTGTTGTAAAGCATAGGAAGAGTATTCCTTTCTCAACAGTAGCTAAATTACATTTCCATAAAAAAGTAACAGCGGGCATTCAGATAAGATGGTGGACTGTGCCACACAAATGTCTATAAATGAACACATTTTATAAGAACAAGAGTACCTTTTAAAATATAAAATTGTATACGCCTAAAGCTATCTTTTTTTGCAATACAAATGGTTATATGTTGTATAATGCAACAAAGTTATGTTAAGAAGTTCAAAATGTACGTTGGTACCTTTTGGCTTTTCTTCATGGGTTATTACAGCAAGGGGCTTGGTGAAAGTTTTCTTATTGTGCATCATGGCCAAGATCATATCAACATTGAGCGAGGTGCAGGCTTCATCAGGAGGAATGCACTGTGGATGGAAACATCTGAGGTCAGGGATTCACTCAAAATAAAATACAGTATCAGCCAGAGCAGCTGCACAGCTGCCTCATTATCAGTGTTTGCTCAGTATTGTTTACCAAAGAGAAACAGGAGATCTGAACGTTATCAACCCTCCAAAAAAACAATCTATGTAATATACTGGCAAAGAAAACTTATTCTCAGCTAGAATGTTCAGATGTTCCAATATTAGGGGCTTTGCCTTATATAGAACCCTATTATTCTCCCTATTCCCACCCCCACATCCCAATTTTTCACACTTGCTCTCTGATCACCCTATTCTCAGCTGCATCTTAAGATGTAAACGTGCCTTAGTGCTACATTACTTAAAACTCTATGAAAGTTTTACTATTGAATTGTTGCTGTAATAGTTGCATATTAGGATATCAAAGGCTGATGTTAATTACATAGAAGGTCAATATCTTCAAAGAGCTCTCACCCCAGTTTCCAAAAGTACCTTCACTGTCACAGTTAGCTTTTATACTCATTGAGTAGTTGATTTTTCATGTATAAATGCTGTGTGTATATTCAAATCCAGGCTTCTATACAAAAATTTGGACACACAGATTTACAAGCACAAAAATAGAGTCCACTTTTGAAAATCCAGGGGCCAGTTCTGTAGCTCACTAGTGCATATATAGTGCATATACAGATCAATAATGTTTGAGTCTTTTCTTATGTTAAAGAACTACTACAAATAACTCAAATTTTAGAAGTTATGCAGGTAAGTCCCAAACGTCTGAATAAAGTCAGAATACCTAACAGTTCATTTTTTGACAAAAAGATGTATTTTTACTTATATACTATTTTTAAAGTAATAGTTAGGCAGCAGTCTCACAATAATCAAACAGGAAATGTTAATTCTACTTAAATATATTGGAGTGAACATTCAATACAGAGAATTTACTATAAATCCAAAAAAGTAACCACACTGAACTCTGGAAAACAAATGATAATATTTACTTATTTCCCATCAAAGTCCTCCTGAGATGGGCCAACCTTACAATTCACATATGGATGTTCAAAAACAATTACAATATTATCTCAGCAGGCTCTGGAAAATTAATGTTAATTTTGTTTATCCTATTGCTATTTTATCTGAATAGAACAGATAAATCTGGACCACTCCCTTAATGAAAAGCAATCTCTGTTTACCACATGTAACCACTTACTTACATTTTCCACTTTAAAATGTCGACCATGTGATCAAGATTCAGCATAGCTCTGAGTAAAAAGAGCCTATAAAAATTATCAGGTCCACTGATAAAATGTTAATTACACTAATCTAAGTCTATAAAATCTTCAAATAGAAAAGTTAATCCCAGGTACTACTATGATCTGGAATTTATCTTGTAAAAATTCTCATTTTTTAATCTAAATCTGAAAGCTTAAGGAAGTTAACAAACTACTGACCTTCGGCAGTCCTTGAGTGTCTTTTTCTTTATTTGTACACAAAGTCAGCTCACAATGAAGAAAGAGCAATGAGATGTTGAATATAGGTTTAAACACAAAGCTAAACCTCTTTTTGTCCATCTGTGCATGTGGTATAGGAAAGTTCACCTTCTGGACATTGTAGAATTTAACAGATTCATCTTTAGGACAAATGTTTTCTATGATGGTGTAATCAGATATCATATCAGGGTTTGAATATGGTGAAACAAAACATGTTTGGATCGCAAAACCCAGGGCTCTGTCAGCTTTCGTCACAGAAACCTGCATATGAAAAACAATTTATTAAAAACTTAGCAGTGGCATTTTTGTTAGCAGCATTCACATTTTGGATGATTATGTGGTTTTCAGATGCCAGTTCCAATCAAATATTTCAAGCCTAAATTATGAGGAGATACGGTCTAGGAGATACTTAGAGGATGGATGACAAGTTTTGTAGGTTCAAATCCAACTTAGTCATTGTCCTAGCATGTGATTTTTTTTGGAGGGTCAACCCTCCCTGTACTTCAGCCAACTCACCTGAAATATCCAGTGAAAAGTAGGCCCACTCAATAGAATGAATGCTATATCTGAACTGAGTTTTTGGGAAAGGGGAGAACACTAAAACCACTCCCCCAATAAGTTTACAAACCACAGTAGAAGGCTATGGGAGCTGATTACAAGTTCCTCACTGCTGTATCTGCATAAATCTTCACTTAAATATAAATACATGCACACATAGAGTGGAATGCAGAGGCAGAGTGGAGAGGTCATGGTTTGAAGCAAGGGTGGGGCTTATGAGTTCTGTGGAGGAGCAGGCTAGCAAGAAGCTATGCAGCTGTAATATTTTCTGTGTGATCGCTACAAAGACAGTGACTCTATTCTTTTATGGGGGGCAGGGAGGGAACCCATTCCCAACCCACAGTGCACTGATATTATTCAGCCCAACTGGAATACGAATGCCACAAAGCAATTTGGGGGGTAAAACTATATAGGTACATTTCCATTTCCATGCACATTAAGCATGTTATTTCTATAAAAAACTGGAGTGTTGCCCCAAATTATCAGAACAGCATGATGAAGAGTCTCACTAGCCTTAATATCCTACTCACAAAAATGTGCCATATGCATGCATGCGTTTTGCATACATCCAATGGAGAACCTGCCAAACTTTTCTACAGTCTAGAAAGAAATCTCAGACTGGAGCCAGTGGATTGCACAGAAAATTCTCCTTTTCCCTCTAAGTATGCAGAGCAAAATCACTAATTTAATTAGAGAAAGTGGTTGAAGCATCTAAACAATAGAAACAATCTGTTATTAAGAACAGGAAATAGAGGGTGAGGATCAGAAAGGCAAAATGGTTTGAATGAAAAGGACTTGCAGTAGGAAGAACAGATGTGGTTTATGCGTATACAAGCCCCAAGGTCACTTCGCGTCTGAATGAGAGCATTCATGAGAGGTGGGGTGGAGGGTGTTCACACTCTTGGTTGATTTCCCTTAGTAACTTTCCTAGGTGAACCTGGGCAGACACTTCCTCAGGGAGATCCAAACAAGCTAGATGAATGTGTAACTGCAGCAAATGAAATTTGGTGTTGATAAATGCAAAATCTACACCCTTCTGCAGCAGATAAGAGGCTCAGAGTGAACTGGCCCATTCATCTCATGGGATATTCTTACATTAAAAAGTATATTTAAAGGTGATAAATGAAGTCAGTAACAATACCTCTTAGATGTGATAACTGTTCTGTTCATAACAATGGATGTTCTCACTCCCTCCCGAGTTCCTAGATGCCTGTATCATTTACTGAGCATGCCCATTTTTAATCCCTTCCCCCACAACCCAGTGGTATATACCCGCTGAAAGGACTGAGCATGCCTGTTCCCAGAGCCTGGTACAGATTCAGCGATGAAGTGAGAGCAGTAATTAGAAATAAAAAGCAATACGGTATATAACAGATAGGGAAAACAGTGCAAGCAACACGAATCAGAAGTTATGAAGTGCAGAAAACTGATAACGGAAGCTAAAGATACGAGGGGAAAATCCATGGCTGGCAGGGCTTAGCACATAACATTTTTTAAATGTATGTTATGAACTAAAGAAATGCCAGCAGTGGTACAGCCCCATTACCAGATGTAGTTGATAACACTTACTGATGAAGAAAGACAGAAGTGTGTACTAAATATTTCTGTATTTGGAAAGACGCAGGATGATGCACTTGTATCAGATGAGGATGATGAACAATTTTCTAACTAAAGAGGATGTTAAACATCATCTTATGGGACCAAACCTTTTTAAATCTGCAGACCCAGATAACTTGCACCCAAGAGTCCACAAAGATTTGGCTGAGGAGATTTCTGGTTCTCTGATGTTAATTTTTAATATATCTTGGAACATTGGTGGAAAATACTAGAGGACTGGAGGAGTGCTAATGCTATGCCAATATTCAAAAAGGGCAAGTGGGATGACCTGGGTAACTATATGTCAGTAAGCCTGATGTCAATCCTGGGCAAAATAATGGAAAAGCTGATACGGGATTGCATCAATAAAGAATTAAAGGATGGGAATATAATTAATGCCAGTCAACATGGTTTTATGGAAAACAGATCTTGTCAAATAATTGTGATTTCATTTTTTGATAAGATATTATGTTTGGTTGATAAAGGTACCTGCGTAGATGTAATAGACTTAGACTGTAGTAAGGTGTTTGACTTGCTACCACATGACAGTCTGATTAAAATTAGCACTATACAATAGCAATAAAGCACACATTAAATGGATTAAGAACTGGATGACAGATCTCAAAGTAGATGTCAGTGAGGGAAGCCTCATATGTTTCTAGTGGGGATCCACAGGAATTGGTTCTGGGTTTAATACTGTTCAACATCTTTATCAATGATCTGAAAGTAAACATCAAATTTGTGGGTGACAAAAAGATTGGCGGAGCAGTAAATGATGGTGATGACAGAACACTCATACAGAGCAATCTGGATCCCTTGGTAAGCTGGGCCCATTCTAGCAAAATGCATTTTAATACCTCCAAATGCAAAGTTATACATCTAGGAACAAGGAATGCAGGCCATACCTACAGAAGGGGGGACTGTATCCTGGAAAGCAGTGACTTGGAAGGGATTTGGGGATCATAGTAGACAAACCACTCAACAGCTCCCAGTGTGATGCTGTAGCAAGAAGGGCTGGTGCAATCCTTGGAAGTATAAACAGGGGAGTAACGCATAGGTAAAATTACCTCCCTACTCCTATCTGGGTGGCACTGGTGAGACCACTGCTGAGAGGCAGCATCCAATTCTGGTGTTCACATTTTAAAAAGGATGTTGAGAAACTGGAGAGAGTGCAGAGAAGAGCTACAAAAATGATTGGGGGGGCTGGAGAAAATCCCTTAACGTGAGGAACAGAGCTCAATCTGTTTAATCTATCAAAAAGAATGAGAGGTGACTTGATTACAGTGTATAAATACCTTAACAGGGAGAAAATACCAGATAGTAGAGGGGTCTTTCATCTAGTGGAGAAGGGCATAAAAAGAACCAATGGCTGGAAGCTAAAGGCAGACAATTTCAAATTAAAAGTGAGGCATGGGTTTTTTGTTTTTTTACAGTGAAGGTGATTAACCAGTGGAACAAACTTTCAAGGGAGGTGGTGGATTCTCCATCTCTTGATGTCTTCAGATCAAAACTGCATGCTTTTTTGGAAGATTGCTTTAGGAAACTCAAGTTGTTGGGCCCAATACAGGGGTAACTGGGTGAAGTTTAATGGCCTGTAATATACAGGAGATCAGACTAGATGATCTAATGGTCCCTTCTGGCCTTAAACTCTATGAATTATAACATTCTGAATTTCATTCAGTAACACAAGTGGTTTTAGAAGAAAAGTAGGTGAGCAAGGATGAGCAAAAAGTCACCACATAAGAAAAGAGATAAACAAGATCTACAGAGACAGGATGTGAGATGATTATAGAATTAACATATTGATAATAAAAAACAAAGCAGAGATAAAGGAAAAATGCACAAGTGATTACAATAAAGAAAACAATTCTTATAGAAACAGAATCTATGCAGGAGAGACAAGTACCAGGTCCTTAGAGATTATGCATGAGTAATCTATTGACGAAAGAGACAGACATTTTTCAAACAAACAAAATACAATGTTTTTTCTATCAGTGGAGGATGGAGGAACAAATGCCTGAAACAGATATTAATTTTCCACTGTGCAGAAAGGAGAAACAGAGGGGAAAAAAATCAAGCTCATCCCAGGACAGGTGATAAAGAAATTAAAGTATGTATTTGAAGAAATAACTCCAAGACCAGACAAATCCAGAGCCAGAGGGATTCATCCCAGAATGCCGAAGGAAGTTGACAATCTTTGTCCAAGAGAAAAACTAATACTTTTACTTTAAAAAACAAACAAAAAAACACCTTAATTAATTTTGATGCATTTTAACCTTGCTTCAATTTCTTTTAGCGTATTTTTCACTATAGAATTTTGAAGTATTTGAAAGAAAGTAATTTTTATAGGTAGAGGACTAACAGGCAACTAAACATTTACAGAGCACATAAAATGAACTGTTACACTAACTGAAAGTACTAAAAATCATATCTGAATATTGTTCCCAAATGTGTTTGTTAAATATCACTGGTAATTACTGCTAGAAAGATGTACTTCTGTTTAAAGAAGGTTTGCTTATATAGTGGACCTTATTTTCTAAGGTCTTCTAAGTACATGGGCAAGTTCCTGTGATATTCTCTTGTCATTCTACTTGGTTGGTATCTTACTAACAAAGATGCATATCCAATAGAAAGATTTTCACAGCATATATGTTAACCACCACTGAATGAAAACAATAATTTGTACAAGAGAGGAAGTTTGACACCTGTTTGGTATACCAAAATGTGACTGGAAGTGGCTTAAAGGTAAGATGGAATTGTGACGACAATGTTAAGACCCTTTCCTCCACCATGTAACCTGTGGGGGGAAGGGGAAGCTGTAACTGTTTTGTACAGAACTTCACCTGGAAAATGTAGCTAAGCTATATTTCTGTATAAAATGAACTCATTCCTCACTGAAAATTCTTTGTATTGATGTTTGTAATTATCCAATAAAGGTCTGGAAGAGCTAAGAGACCAGATTCAAGTACTGTTCCATACTGCAGATCTGACCAGACTGACAGACTTCTTTTAGTTGGATTTACCCACTTTGAGAGGACTCTCTGGTCTTCACCACAAAGAATTGTCTTATTAACCTATGATGTCCCTTTTCTGAAATCACAGAAGTACACATCTGTCTGAGACAGGCAATCACACAATGCCAGTTTACTGCAGGCAAGCACAAACTTGGCTCAGCTTACATGGCCTTGCCGAACATTTCGGTTAATCTGAAAGCCTTTTAAAGTTTGTTACCTCAACGTAAATCTGTCCATTCTCAGCAACAGAGAAGAGTCCTTGTAAGGGAGCGAAAAAGAGGTCTGTTTTATAAAGCTCCATGTTGAAGGTCACATTGCTGATGCGGGGTTCAGGAGGCGCAGGATTAGGTAAGCGTTTGCCACCCTCTGCCTGGTGGAGTGTGCAGTTAAACTAAAACAAACGAAATACAAATAAATCCCAGAACTTTTGCCCCATGGGATGGAAATGAGAGCAGAATTAGGCCCATAGCTAAAAACTTTAATTTCAAAATAAATATAAGGTATTACATACCACAACTATTTCAGGCCTGCTTGGAAAGGTAGCATCTGCTTCATCAGTGTCTCCTGGAAATCCATTATCACCCGATTCGACATCTTCATCATCAATTCCCCAACCACTACTTTCCACTGGTGAGGACAGCTGAATAACAATCTACATAAAGGAAGTGGGAAGTGAAAACTAAAAGCTTTTCTACAAAGGTGATTGTGATTCTCTTTTCATGTTAATTGTTTCTTCCTTTCTTCAGAACAACATGAAGACCAAGAAGTTGTGGCAGCCAACTAGCTGGGGAAAGCACGCCATCCCTGCAGCCCAGCACTAAGCATTTTATGTATGTATACTATATATGCGGAATAACCATCAGTTTGTTCCCAGATGTCAAAACCAGTAGAACCGTAAAACTGCTCTCTATGTTGGAAAAGCAGCCTGGGGATTGGTATGTAAATGAGCATACCAGCAGTCCCACTCTGCTTCTGGTATTTCTATATCCAACACTGCTAAAAGAAATGGTTCTCTGAAATGGATTAACATACCTTCCAACATACAGTGACTGACTCCCAGAAGAATCACAAAAAGTTCTAGCAGGTAGCAGGATTTTCTCCTGTAAAATCTCTGTATCCTCCTCCCTCCCCCCACCCCACCCCCTTTTTTTTTTAAAATGACATAAGCCAGAAAACTTGCTATCCCTTTTCACATGTCTCTCTTCTCTGGACCCCTACCTGACCCCTCTTTTTCCCCTCCCCCACTGTTTTTTCTCTTTCCTCTGAGATACCTTCTCTTTGGTGCTCCACCCATCCTCTGTCTGCTTTTCTCTCTCTAACCTTCACCACTGAGCTGCTGTGTTTCCCCATCTGCTCCTCCACTGCTCTTTTGCTTCTCTCACAACTTCAGCTTTGTTTTCTCAGCTACAGTACAGCTTCTAACAAGTGACATTTTCTTCTGAACTGTTTGGACACCTCACCCTTTCTGCAGACTGCTGAATCACCTTTCAGTGGGAATTCTCCCAAACCCTGGGAAGCTCAGGACCTTGTACAGTGACCTGGAGCTCCAAATCAGTTTTTTCACTGAGAGGTGCTTGGATCAGTTTTGGTTTGACCCACTATACAGACTGGGTCCAGACACAAAGTTTAGATTGAGATGTATTTTCTCCACAATTTTGGGGTGTTTAGATTCAGGTTTTTGGTTTGCGCCCATCTCTAAGTCAAAAACTACAAGGTCTTGCCAATACAGAATAGTTTTAGCCAGGCTAGGTCTGATCAAGTGGCTGTAGCTATCCTTGGGTTTCCTTTGTTTGCCAGGGATACTATAATGTGCTTAAAACCCCCAAAAGAGTAAAACAGGTTAGTGCATGTTGGCCTGGCCAATATCTATTCAAGTTCACAGTGCAAGTACTGTGCAAGTTCTTGTAGTAGAAAGCCTAGAAGCAAAGTGGGATTCTTTACGTGGTCACTTACATACCCATATCCAGATTACATTCCAAGTATGCAGCTGTATGAGAATTCTGAAACCAATTTTCAAACTGGGGGGCCCACATTGGGTGTTCAGATCAGCACTTAGCTATCTGGGTACCCACAGTGCCCATTCAAGTAGTTGTTGGGGAACTGAATTCTGTACTTGGATTCAAACTTGAAGTCGAGGCCTGTCTTGCACACAAATAGATGAGCACTGAATATTTATTTTAAAACATGTACTTGTAATGAGGTTAATGCTCATGTGAAAAGTAACAAGTGACACAACAGCATACAATACTGCCTTCCTGTATTCAGAGAATAAACGCACTTGAAAGCACATTTGAGGAGCTAATTGGTAGAGTCCACCAGCCTTTCATTGTGGAAGACTTGGGTTCAGGTATTATGTTAGTGGACACAGGTGAAAATGTGTGTTTTAGTGGGCACTTGTTGCATTGTAAAATAGCACCACACAATTTGCCATGACCAGCAGTCTGTGCTCAGGAGAAGCTCAGGCCTTCACTGAATGGCAAAAGAGCAAGATAGAAGCCTGCACAGATTGGACCACTCCCTCAATTTCAGGGGCATTTTTCATTCAAAGTTATAGAAGAGAAGTGTTCCCTACAGGAGTTTTAATTTATATTTTCTTTTGTGATCATAAATCTTTGTTGCCATACCAGCTCAGGGCTAAGTTGTGCCAGTAGTGTGGGGGTATTGTAGAGTTGCCCTGGGGGAGCTCAGGGAAGACTTGTGCCTCCCTCTCCAAGCAGCATAGTGCATGAAGCAAGGCTGCATCATATTTTGGAACAGTGCAGCTAGTTCCCCACAGTGCACCTGGCTTGTTCCAATGCCTAGTACGGAAAAGGGGAACACACTCCCATCTCCTCCCACTCTCTTTTGGATGTCATGTGCCCCCAGCAACACACTGAGGGAGCAGCCTCGCGCTTTCCTGAGTTCAGGGACTGTAACTGTGACTGGCCCTAGCCTGGGCATGAAAAGATTGAGAAGGGGGCACACTTCCTTAATACTCATACTAGGTCCAGTCACAATCTGGTCCTTATAGCCTTATTGTACTATAACAATACACAGCAAAGAAAAACATCTCTCCTTGTAAAATACTCACAGAGTTAAAATAAACTATGTTATCCAAGGCATAGTCTATCTGTTGAGTCCCACAGCTGTGCAACGAAGATTCCAAAATGAAATGGGTACCATTCATCTTCGCTTTACAGGCAGGATCTAGTAGTGAGAGTTCTGTCCCTGTGTAACCATTAGCCTAAACAATGACATTGCATAAGTGGCTGAAACCTCAGAGAAAATACAATTGCACGAGATACATACTTACAAGTTATACTCTTATGCAAAAAGAACAGGAGTACTTGTGGCACCTTAGAGACTAACACATTTATTAGAGCATAAGCTTTCGTGGGCTACAGCCCACTTCTTCAGATGCATAGATGTGGGCTATAGCCCACGAAAGCTTATGCTCAAATAAATTTGTTAGTCTCTAAGGTGCCACAAGTACTCCTGTTCTTTTTGCGGATACAGACTAACACGGCTGCTACTCTGAAAACTACTCTTATGCAAAAATATACTATGCTCTACTTAAAATGACTATTAATAAGACTGCCATTGAACTGCATGTCCTGTGACATTTACTACAAAATACTGTCACACAATGACATTAGTTGTTGGAACAACAGAGGAGACAACCATCACATGGAGTAAAAAAAGAGAAAATAGCTATACAGTAACTCACTTAAAGTCGTCCCGGTTAACATTGTTTCGTTGTTACGTTGTTGATCAATTAGGGAACATGCTCGTTTAAAGTTGTGTAATGCTCCCTTCTAACGTTGTTTGGCAGCCACCTGCTTTGTCTACTGCTTGCAGGAAGAGCAGCCCCTTGCAGCTAGCTGGTGGGGGCTTGGAACCAGGGTGGACCGGCAGCCCCCCCTATCAGCTCCCCTAAGTTCCCTGTGCAGCAGCTGCCCAGCAGACTAGCAATTGCAGCTGTCCCTCCCACCACTGCCATGTGCTGCTCCTGCCCCTCTGCCTTGGAGCTGCTCCCTGACGACTCCTGCTTGCTGTGCGGT